TTCCTTACACTTAGGTAGCACGGAAAGCCGGAAAACTCTTGAACAAAAGCTCATCTTTCAAACCGGCAGTCTAAATCCCACAGGTATCAACGAACGCTTTTTATTCCACTAATTTATTCGTGTTTTTCTCGTTGCCATGTTCCCACCAATCACGTAGCTCCTTTTTCTGCCTTTAAAAGCACACACAACCCACAATTCCCCTAATCGCTCCGACGAAGGGCTAACGCTCGAAACGTCAGCTTTTATAATCGTAACGGTGGCCAATTTACCATTTCAACTTTGTTGATATATTCAAATTATTTCGTTACCCTCACCGACGCAGCCCCAAACAGTTTCTTTAGAAACTATCAGCCTTTATTCATTTGAAAAACCAGTAGGTGCGTTGGGAGGAAGGGAACGCTAACTAATAGAAACGACCTCCAATTGTTTCCTTCTCAAGGTCCTCTGTACTTCGCCCTCCTTTTGGCTCAGAGCGGACGCGAACACCTGATGAGGAATGCTTCCTTTCCACCGAGTTGCGAGAAGACCACACATGGATGGACCACAATAACCCTTTAACTCTCATGAATGACCAAGACAGAATTTCTCCTCACAACTTCGATACAATATCAAGCAGACATACCTACTTAAGAATAAAATTAATTCATATCATGCGTGAAAAAAAAAATTAAATGAATTAAGAATTACATAGAGCACAACCCCTGCAGCCATCATCTAATAAAGAGCTGAGGTCACGCTTACGTATGCGGTTTTTGAAACTAGCTAATGTTGTGGCTGATCTGTCATAAGTTGTCAGTTCACTCCACAATTTAGGTCCTAAATGGCGTAGTGAATTTTTGACGTAAGTTGTTGTGTTGTATCTAGGAATAGAAAAGTCGGCCTGTCTTAAATTATAGGAAGAGTTGTGTTTCTGAAAGATATTACAAATATTCAAAGGGCTAAGGTTGTGTTATGGTTTAACTTTGTACATTAAAATGCATATATCCTGTAAGCGTCTGTTTAAAAGCGAAGGTATATTAGCTATCTGCAGCAAACGTTCATAGGTGGAGTGTTTGTCTCTGAATACAGCCCATTGGCCTCTTTCTTGAACTCTCTCAAATCTGCGACTAGCACTAGATTTACAAAAATGCCATGTGAGATGGCAGTAGATTAGATATGGTAGAATGGCTGCCTTAAAAAGTTGTAATTTTGCATTTGTTGGAATCAAGTTGCGGAGTCTCAAAGCACACTAGTCCTTTGACTGGCTTTGTTACAGATAGTATTTGTGTGATTATTGAAATTCAAATTTGAGTCAATTGGGACTCCGAGAAGTTGGAGAGTAGCGGTCGTGCTGATTTTCTCTTTGTTTACTAAGATAGCGCATTCTTCGATGTTATTTTCAGAGTTATTGCTGCTACCAATAATTAAGGTTTGGTACTTTTTAAGGTTACCAACTAATAGATTAGATTCGTACCAGTTGGTTGCTTTTTCCATACTGTCTCTAAGTTTGGATGCAGTATTGGGTAGGTCATGACCTGTATGGTAAAACTGATGGTCGTCTGCATGAGTATATAAGTATAATTTCATAATTAATTCAAATAGAGGAAGCGTTTGTAAGCGCAGACTTTTAACTTGATGGCAGACCACACCGTTGAATTTAAGCAACCTAAACAAGAAAGAGAAGCCGAATTGAAATTCAGATGTCTCCATTTAATGTGCTTAAAATCTTCCCATTTTTAAATCACTTCGTATAGCTCTATTAAAATCATGGGAAATACAATCCCATTATAGTCAATCCATTCTCGAAAATGCGACTCCATCCAGTAGCACATTCTCATTAGCCCGGCTTTCTAGGAAGAACTCTAGCTCCCCTCACAATGGGGCCCTTCGATCCTTGTGAGAAGCCGAAGCTTCCCGAATGAGCGGACGACAAAATGGAAGAAAAGACGGAAGTGATTTCGACGCTCAATTTCAAGAAGAAGCCTGAAACATAATTAATTCAGGCCGTCTGCGACCCCCACGATGAAAGAGACACTTAACCAGCTGACCCAAGGCCAAGAAGGAATCGGTGGATATGGGACATAATTCAGACATTTTCTCTACGATTTTTAAACTTTTTATTATCAGAATTCTTCTGTTTCATAACTGTGTGCACAGGCTAGAGTCGAACAAACACCTGAGTGAATGAACGCATGCGTGACAGCTGAATCTTCTCTCTTCCGGTTGAAGATCGAGCCTCGAATTGACAGACACTCAAAAAGTGTTTTAATCTATTCAGATCATTTGAAAGAATATTTAAACATAATTCAAATCAATTTGCGAAACATGCAATTATTATGTTGAAAACAGGTCGGGAAAAGGAAATGTACGTTAAAACTTATGATAACATTGGTTTCAAACATATCAAACAGAGAAAGAAAAATTAATGTTGTCATAACAACAGTAACACCAAGCTAAATTACCCATAATGCTTCTAGCGGAGAACAGTTCGAGACGAGGCCAGAAAATACACATCTTTGAATCGCTACAACAGCCCAATATCTTCGGAAGTTATCAATAACACCTCTTTTCAACAAACTAACAAAAGGAGTTGTGCTTAGGAAACGACTCCATTGTGGAAACCTGCGATCTGCATTTACATTCGTGAGCCGTCATTTCGTGCATCGAACAGAGGGTGTGCACGCGCTTGATCCAGGGATAATTTGTCTCGACTGCAATGCCTTGTTAGCGGAAATAAATTTATTTTCATCTGCCGAGATCTTGGAGGATTTCGGTTTTAATAAGGGACGGAACTAATCTGTGTCAACCCCTGAACCTACGTTTCGGTAATTTTTGGACTTGTTTAGATCACCTGGTCGGCCATTATGCGAGAGGAAGACGTAGAAGTTGCGATCAAAGTCGTGGTTGTAGGAAATGGAGCCGTCGGTAAGAGTAGCATGATTCAGAGATACTGCAAAGGTATTTTCACCAAAGACTACAAAAAGACGATAGGAGTGGACTTTTTAGAGAGGCAAATCAGGTGAGAGAGAGCAACGCAAACGGGTGTGAATAACTGTTGGGCGACCCTTCGGGAGTATTGATGCACTTTATGAAAAGACCGCTTAGCGATTTTGTGATAAATGCTTTTGCGATTTCCGAATATTCCATGCATATTTAAGCAGTGTTTATAACTGAGAATAATCACCGGTTTTCATGGGCGAAATTGTGGGCTTAAGAGTTTTCCCTGAACGATCTTTAATTTGTGTTATTGCAGTGTGAGGGGCGAAGATGTTCGGCTCATGTTGTGGGACACAGCCGGACAAGAGGAATTTGACGCCATAACTAAAGCTTACTACCGAGGTAGGATGTGATGTGTGTTTGTATTTGATTGCAGGTCTGAGTGTTAAATGTACATGGGCATTTTAACCCTCCAGTTTTTCGAAACCTTGTAAGTACAGGTGTAAAAGAATTCGTTTATTTCGTCGATCGCGATCGATCTCAAGGAACGCTGCATTCGAATATATTTCGGTGGGACTTTCGTTAGCTGAGTTACATTTTCCAAAGTTTCCATCGTTTCTTAATCACATTTAATACCCTTTTCAGCAACGAAAGACCTTTCGTTAAATTGCAGTTTCTAAGGTATTAAAAATGATTGGCAACTATTTATATCCACTTGTTTAAATCGTGGTGAAAATTTTACATCGTTTCGAAATCATGTTATTAAAATCTTAGTTTGGGTGGTAAAGTATTATTTCCTCGAGAAAGGGTAAATGAATTATGAAAGTAAATGAGCCATATGCATGTACAGCGACTGATTTTTTTTTTTTTAGTATAATTATTTATATTTTGTTTGGCGCACCCTGCAACTTTGATGAATTCGCGTGTAATGGACTATTCCGTAAATTGCATTCAGCTTTCCCACAATAAAATGACGATCGAAGGTGAAACAATTAAATCCTTGGAGCGGATGTTTGGTTGCTTAAGGGTTCTCAATGCGATTTTTTTATTAAGAAAGCAGTCTTTGTTTTAACAAATCCTTATGAAGCGCCGTGAGAAGAGAACACAATAGCGTTACTATCATTGTTTAAAATCCTTTCCGCCTCACTGCGTCTGGTGAATTTTAGAGATGTCAAGCATGTAACAGTCTCATTTGTACAAGTCTACAGAACCACGGGTACTTTCTGTCTTAACATGTTGACCTATAGCCTCCCTGAATTTGAGTATTTTCGAGAGGACCCCATGTGAACAAGTAATTTCATCTCCTTATGAGTATAATGTACTTGTAATATTTTTATGGTGATTGTTACACCCCTTGTTTCTCACCTTGACTTCTGAACTCTGGATCTTCATTGATGTATTTAGAGCTTCTTAATTTAGGCACAAGTCAATGAGGCTGGCTCAGTCTCACAGATTTCGCCTTGCTACCTTCTGGTTAAAAAATTGATATGTTTGCTTTAGAAGAAGGACTAACCTTGTTACAGATATCTAATAACCATCTAGAGCTAAAAATTCTCACATACAACAAGTTCAATCCCACCTAATGGTCCACATTTGTTACTTGTAATGGACTCAAGCCAGAAATTCTCTTTGGTCCTAACAGAATAAGATATCTTGCAATCCAAGTAAATAGAAAGAACTAATTGTAAAAAAAAAAAGTAAAGCAGCGGCAGTAGTCAGTTTGATCCAGTCAGATATTCCTCAGTATAGTAATTTAGTTTTGTTAGGTGTAACTCTCCAGAGTGACTGCAAATAAAGGGCATATGAAAATCTGAAATTAATCAAAGAAACGAAATGCCTAGATATTGAACGGACCCATGGGAAAGAGCATTACTTTCGGGAGGAAATAGTAAGATCATTTGTTTCCTTCCTTTCTGCCCAGTTTTATTTATGGGGCATCTGTAAAGGTAAGGTAAAGTCTGTTTACGAGCCTAGTGGCCCATTAGGCCAGTGCTTAACTCCGGTTTCTGTAGCATGAAGCGACTAGGAGTATTTCTACTCCCCCCTGGATGGGATGCTAGTCCATCGCAAGGTTACCCCCAGCATTAAATTGCCGGTACCCATTTATACACCTGGGTGAAGAGAGGCACTGTGAGAGTAAAGTGTCTTGCCTAAGAACACAACACAATGTCCCGGCCGGGGCTCGAACCCGGACCACTCGATCCGGAGAGCT